TTCCAAATACGCCAAAAATGCTCTCATCCCCCGAGGACCCCAGTCTAGCACAAAGGGCTGGTTCTTTCTGGCTGCCGCTTGTGGCCTCCTTCTTGCCCACTGCCTTTGAATCATGGCCTCTTTCGCATGACTAGAAGGGCCAACTGGGGATTTTCCCAGGAGGCTGGGTGGGGAGGAGGCCGGGAGGGCTGAGATTTAGATGAGCGAGGATGAAAACAAGCATTTTAGACTCTTCCCAAAGTTTGGTTTATCCTCAGGGAGAGAAACAAGCTGCTTACTGGGTGTCCTCAAAAACCCCTTGACCCTAAAGAGTTCTCTCTGACCATCAGGAAAGCTTCAGGTTAGAAATCTGGAAGAGGGTGCAGACCAGGATGCCCGGCGTGAGGACCAAGCTGCCTCAGAGACGTCAGGATTGGCCTTTCTGGGCTGGGTTGAGAGCCCTTTGGCATGAAGACAGAGGAGGGGCTTCCATGATCCTTGGGGGGCCCCCTAGATGTGAGCACTCCCAAGATTATTTAGGGAACACTGTGCTCCTTAGGCTCTGGGCCTCCCCACCCCCCAGCTCCCACCCCTGTCCAGTGCTCTGTCCACGTGACTATGTCTACACTGACCCAGAAGGTGAGCAACGCCTCCCCTCCAAAGCCAGGATGATCCTGCTCCAGCAGAAACCAGAAGAAACACATCTGACAATGCAGCAGCCAGGGCTGGGGAGGGAGACAGGGCCAGAGGAGGGAAGCATCTGGAGCCCCTCACAGAGCCTCGGGCACAGGCTCTGGCTGCCCTTCCCTGGTGGAAATGTCCAGGCCAGAGAGAAGGCCTTGGCCTCAGCCTTTCCTGCCTTCCTGTCCTCCCTGGATTTCTGTGCTTTTCACTCTCCTTCCTGTATTTTCCCTCAACAACCTCCCTCCCACCCCACCCCACCCACAACAGCTGGGCTGCTGGGAGTTCATGGTGTTCCTGAGTTAATCAAAAACTCCTGTACTTTGCCCTTGAATCGAGGCCATGTTCCTTCATCCTGGGGCACTGAGGTCAGCTTGCTCTTCTCTGCATTGAATAGTATTAAAAGAGAAAAGGGGGGTGCGGAGAAGGGAATGATCATTCACGTGGAGCCTCTTGCCCGATCAGGCACTGAGTCAGGCACTGAGCAAACACTGATCTCACAATGTCCCACTGGGATGAGGGGTGCCTGGACGGTCTCCATTTTGCTTTTAAGAGACTGAGGTGCAAAGCTGTAAAGAAACTTGCCCAGATCTCATAAACAGGAACTGATGGAAAGTGTCTCGAGGCTTCCAGTGGAGTTTTGAGGGGGTTTCTTACCCATGGCTGGGTTAGAAAATTGTATGCCTATCCCTAGAATAAGGAGTGGAAGCTGAGCATAGGTATGATTCCGGCTGGGAAAGAGAAGGGGGGAAGAGACCTAAGGGGAGCCCCAGGGGGAACTGGGAAGGCCCACGAAGTTGGGCATCGCTTTGGATCTAGAAGTACCAAGATGGCCATGTTCAGATGAAAGGGCAAAAGAGCACCCCAGGCCTAGGATTGCCCCACCAAGAGCCCTGGAGAATTGTGGTATGGCCTGAGAAGTTCAGGAGTTTGGGACACAGTGCTGGAGAGGCCCAAGTTCATAGGTCTCATGCCCATGTGGGCCAGGGAAGGCCTTAAAGTGGGTTCCCGCAAAGCAAGGAGGGCAAAGCACAGCTCTGTCCCTGAGACTGCTGCAACTGCTCCGCTGGGCATCCTACAGCTCCCCACCTCCCATTCCTGAGCCAGTTCTTTAGTTACTATTTCCCATTTGCCCTCTCCCCCTTCCTTGACCTGCTCTCCCACCCCACCCCCATCTGCCCTAAAGAGCAAATTCCTGTCCTGACCAGGAAGTCCTGCTGGAATCTGGGAGGCCTGATTTGGCTCAGAATGAAGAGGCAGCCACCAGAACAGGCCCGAAGGAATGAGTGAGGGAGGCCGGAGTTCAGGGCCAGTAATGGGGATCCCTGACTTCCTGGCCAGGAACGGGGGGCTGGTGGATGAGAGGCCCCAGAACTCACCATGCTTCTCAAGAGTTGTGGGGTACAGGACTGGGAGAAGCAGGTCAGGGTAGGGGGTACACAGGTCCCCTGCCTTCCAGAGGGGGCACATGGTAGTGGGGCACCTTTACCAGCCCACAGCCTTAGCTCAGCTCCCCAGGGAGTCTGGTTTAGGCTGCAGTGCAGATGGGGGGACTAGAGCTGGGTGGAGACAAACGTTGCAGCCCTGGGCTTTCCTGGGAAAGGTGGCCCCCACCCTCTGCAGACCCATGTCTGAGAACAATCTGGAGCCCCAGCAGGGGGGCTGACACTGCCCACCAGCAGCCCAGGTTAATTAACCCTTGCACAACTGGGCAACCTCTTCTGGTTTCAGTCCCCTCTCGCACATCCAGCCACAGTTCCTAGCGGCCTTCCTCTGCTTGTCAGAGGCACCTGGAGCCCTCTTCCCTGTCCCCAGTTTCCTCCAGCTCTCCCGGAGAACAAGGTGTCCTACTACCCCAGAGGGGCCTGTTCTGGCCCAGTCGGCTCGAGAGAAACAGGCCTCAAGTCCAGAGTATCCCAACAGATGGGCCTTGGCATCCTCCAGACCAAACCCTCTTTCTCAGGAGGCAACAGAGACTGGCCCTCACAGGTGCTGAGGACAACTCAGGGCCACCCAGTGGGCCCTGCATCCAGGGTGCCCAGGGCCAAAAGCAGGGAAGGGCAGGCTTTGTCAGGGAGAGCACAGAGGATAGGGAAGGACAGGCATGTCCCAGGCTGGGGAGTACCCAACTCTCCCAGGGGAGGGCAGGCCTGTCCTGTTACCTGAATGGGCAGGTGTGGCCTGGTTCAGGGTGGGTTTCCGTAGGTGGCTGGAAATGAATCACACTTCTGCGTGCGTCGCGTGTCCCTGCGTGGGTGTGCTGAGTCAGCGTGTGTTGTCCTGTGTGTCTGGAGGTGTAGGCGTCACACACGTGTCACAGGCCCTGTGTGTGTGAGTGGGAACGGCCTTGGAGGTTGTTCTCAGAGTGTGCCGCGGCTGGGAGTATGTGTCCTCGCCCTGCTCGCCCTGAAACCGCACATCTGCACGGGTGGCTGTGCGCACAGGGACCCACGCAGGGCTCTGTGGAAACGTGCATTCTCTCTGCTTGACCGACCAGTGTGCAGAGATGAGAAACCAGCGACCTACTCCGAATTCCTGCAAACTCCAGCTCCTGAGTTTCCAGCCACCCCAGCTAAACTGTGCACAGATGTGTGCTGCTTTGCTGCAGTCATAAACAGACCTCCCAGGATTTTTCCAGAGGAGACACAGAAATATGTTGGTGTCTGCTCTGGGCAGTAAGTCAGAGTATGGGGATGGGCCTTGAAGATAGGGCTTCAAAAAGGAGGGAACCACAAATTAAGGGAGAGCGGAAGGAGCAAGACCACCCCCCCAGAGGCCAGCAGGGGGGAAGGGCTCTGATGGCTTCCAGTTGTGGGATCCTCAACAGGGCCCCAGTTACCTCCTGGGGAGTAAAGTCCCAGTAGGCAAAGATGCCAGCTCCCCAGTTCTGTGTCTCCCCAACCCTCTTCCTGTGGGGGAGACCTTTACTGGGTCATCTGGAAGGACACTCAGGCACATCCCCATGTCCTACACACACACACACACAATCATAGAGCACCCGATACCCAATCACACATGCTGTCACCACACACACACACACACACACGCTCCTTCACACTTCCTAAGCCAACATTTCAGAATCACAACCACAGACACCACACCACCCACCCCCAACCACACAGAGACTCTAAGCCATATGCTCTAGCACGACACTCCCACCCCCCCAAATAGCAATCCTGGACCCCCTCATCTTCAAAGTACATACACCAGGAAAAATTTCCCCCACCTCCACCACACCCCACCCCCGCAATTCTAGGCCTTTCCAAATCACACTGTTCTTAGACTCCTCATCAAAGCAGAATACTTCGGTGGTGTGTGTGGTTTGGTAGCAGACACCCAAAGAAGTGTGAACCTACACCCCGAAATCATATGCAGTGTTATAAACCAACATTACTTCAATAAAAAAAAATTACAATTGTTTTAAAAAAGCAAACTGTTAATGGTTTGAAAGACTCTGACTTCTTGTTGTCCTACAATTACCTAATCTGGCTGAGCCCCCTCCCCCAGGGGTAAGTCCTCCCATGGGTTGTGCCTCTTCCTCATCCCGCTCCATCACCTATGACCGGGAGCTGCACCCCTTTCCTCTTTGCCCTCTGAGATAGGAGAGACCCTTGTCCCCGTACCCAGCGAACTTTTAAGAGCAGTTACTCTGTGCCTGGCATGTGCCAGGCAAGTGGGGGGCAGGGCTGAAAGAGATGTTTGTTCTGCCTGTAGGGAACTTAGGACTCAGTGGAGGGATGGGATGCAGATTGCACCACGTGCCCTGCCAGGGAGAAGGATAAAGTCCAGAGTGGGAGAGAACATTGGCCGCCCCGGAAAGCAGGCGGGCTTCCTGGAGGAGTATGTGCACACGGGCGGGCCTTGACCTATGAGAACATTTGCTTATGTAGAGGTCACGGGGGTGGGGAGAAGAATTTGACCTTGGTCCCATCCTCATGGAACTCTCATTGTCTTATCTGAAGTGACCTTGCTTATTTGAACTTTTTTTTTAAAGATTTATTTTTATTTATTTATGCATACAAGAGCTGGGGTGTAGGCCAGAGTTGTGGGGTGGTGAGAGGATTCTCCAGAGACAGAATAGGGAGCAGAACAGGCGGATTGACTGAAATACACTGCTGAGCAGGCGAGACAGTAGATTTAGCTCCCTGGCCAGGGATCAAACTCATGCTGCAGTGGCTGTGGATAGCTGAGACGTAACCCCTTGCACCACCCGGGAGGCCCCTGAACATCTGTCTTGAGCTGTCTCCACCTCTGTCATATAATCCAGGGACAGCCTGGTCTGTGACTTAGAACAGGGGCAGAGGAAGGACAGAAGGGGAAAGAGAGGGAGAGAGCCTCACATGTCAGACGTGGCGTCCAGTGTGGCAGGAGGAGGGTGGTGTTGGGCCTCTAAAGCCAGCTGAGGGAGGTGGGCTGCAAACTTCCCCTCTCCGGGAGGCATCCTGTTCCTGTGAGAGCAGGTGCCCTTACTGAGGGCACTCCAGGCCTCAGAGGTAGCCAGTTGATAAGCAAACTCTGTAGTAAAGGAGGCAAGTATATGACCTTTAGTATTGCAGGTTTATATATAAACCTTATTAGAACAATATAACATATACGGTACAGGTGGGACAGACAAACACAGCTGGTCACATAAACCAAATGAACTCAGGTAAGTCTTCTCTCCTTAGCTTCACCCTCACACCAGCCAGCAGCAGCCAATCCTAGGTGGACATAGGGCAAAATGCAAAAGCCTTGTCTTGGAAAATCCATTTCTCTGGAGCAGCCACAGCATTGCCTTACTCCAGAAGACATGAGGAGAAGGAGGCAGGCAGCCTGCAGGAGAGGAAAGTGGCTTCATCACTGCTGGGCAACCTCTGCTACCCTTTCAAGCACCATCAAGCCAGCGCACGTGTCTCCCTCTGGCTAGAGAACAGCCCAAGAGGCAGGCTGAAAGAATCCTTTTGTGAGCTACCTGTCCACTTTCCCAGTTGGGCAGGACAGCTCTGGGGATGTTTCATTGACACCCCCAGGAAGACCAAGGAAGCAGGTGGGGTGGTCCATGTCTTCTTCCAAAGGTTGGCTGATGTATTCTTCTTGTGACAGGAGCTTTGTAGCGGAGGGAATGCGATGAGGGACACAACACTGGTGGAGCAGGTTTTCAAGGCAAGACTCTGCTACTTGAGCAGACGTTCTCATGCCATTTATTGAAAACATACAGGCCAGTAAAAGCTGATCATGCAACAATGGTATGAGGGGGTGGGATGGGAATGGAGGACAAAATTTTATGAGGGTCAGAGAAGAGGACATCGTGGCCATAAGTCAAGAGACATTTGCATCAGCAAAGTATTTGATGTTATCACAGGCAGGGTTATCCCGAGACCACCATGGAGACAGTCACATAATCAGGTCAACAGTGGCCTGCCTCATGATATGAACTATACTCCGTAGATAGTCAAGGAATGCTCTGCTGTGATTTGCAGATACCAAATAGGTCACAGTTGCCCATGAGTGGCCAGCTAGTAGCCAGCTCATAGGAACCCCAGTGCTAAGACTGCAGATAAAACCCCACCATCCTAACAGCTAAAGACTCACCAGCCCTCCAGCTTCCAGTCCTAGAGCAGAAAGCTCCAGAACTGCATGGAGAGGCCTCAGGGAGAAGCAGAGCCCTGGCCTGGGCCTGGAGGAGAGATGCCCCCAGGAGCAGGGCATCTCTGCTGGAACCAGGTCAGATCCCTCACGCTCCTGGAGGTACCGGGCAGAGCAGCAGAAGGGATGCCCCCATGGCGCCGATTGGTGGGCAGGGGACACAAGCCCTGGACTCTGTCAGAGACACAGAACGTCAGCCTGACTGCCACTACCCAGCGCTGCTCTCTTGGGCATTCATTTCACTTGCTACCACTGAGTCCTGCTCTGTAATATGGGGACAAGCACCGCCACTCTGCCTGCTGCAGGGGCTGTCTTGGGGATCAAGTGAGTAGGGGAGCAGTTGGTGCTGCTCTAGTGGGGACAAGGAGGCCTTCCCTCCTCCTAACAGCTTTAGAAGGGCTAGAAACACCCCTTATGGAGAATTAATTAGGAGGCTCCTGTTTCTCCGAGGCTGCCTGGGGTCCGAGTCCCAGCTCTACTTGCTCGCCAGCTTGAACTAGACATCTCGTCTTTGGCCTTAGTTGCCAGATCTTTAAACTGAGAGAAGAGGAGCTGGTACTAAATATTTGCTAAGCTTTGCTTTTGTTTTCTGGTCCTTGTATCCCAGACTCAAGGGTCTGAATTCTTGTCCCATCTTCCTCTTAGCCAAGGGGAGCCTGAGGAAGAAGAAAGGGCTCCTAAGGAATAGGCCCCTGGACTGGGAGCTGAGCAAGGCTGCAGATAGGGGCAGAGGCTGAGACTCACCACGTGCCAGGGACAGCAAAGGATGCCCCTGACACAGAGCGGACAGAGCTCGGGGCTTTGGGGTGTCAGAGGGGCAGTTGAAATTCTCAACCCAGGCTCCATGAACCAACCATCCTTTCTTTCACCCAGCCTTTATTTGCATTCATTCGTCTGCTTCTGCAGCAAACATTTACATGTCAGGCACCATCCTGGGTGTTGGGAACACAGAAATGAGTACATTCACAGCCTCATGGGGGACGCCCAGAGATGTAAACAGATGATTCCCACCCAGCATGAGAAGCTCTGGGAGAGCAGCCCGCGCTGGGTGCTGTGGGCCGGGAGGAGGGATCGCACCCAGCCAAGTGGGACAGAGCTCTGCAGACATGGCAGCCGGCTTGCTGAGATGACAGGAAAACGCCGAGATTGCTTGGTGCCCAACAGCTTAGGGGGTGGTAAAGAAAAAATGCCCAAGAGAAAGGTTACTGGGTAGGATAATTAATGTTTTGCTAAGAAAGAAAATAAGAGTGTGTATTTCTCAGCAGGAAAACACCTCAACGAACAAAACGACTTGTAGAAAACAAGTACAACTGCGGGGTTTTTGCTCACAAAGATTAAAAGAAAAGAAAAAGACAGCAGTCACAGACATACCTCCTCCTGGGGCTGAAAGAACATTTCCCACCAGGTGAGGCAACCAAGGCCTGGAGGAAAGGATCTCGTGACAACTCCTTCCTGGGCCAAGGCTGGCCAACGTTGTACCCCAGCTCCTGACCCCCGTGACTGTTTTATTCCAGGTACCTCACCTTAGTGGAGCGAGGACAATTTCTTTACTCACCGGACACATTGTTAGGAACAAGAGATTTCTGATTCCTTGTGGTGTTTTCAGCAGGTGTTACTTCCAAACACCTGCCTCCGAAGCCCCAGAGCCCTGTCCTCACAGGGAAGGCCATGTTGTCTATAGCTCATATTCACAACGCAAGGACCTGGTTAATAGAAGGAGATAAAGTGTGTTGAGAATCTCCAAGTGACAGGACGAGCCCCAATGAGCCACTTTGCAAACTGACGCCAAAAGTTTAACAGGAGCTACCAATCACTATTATGAAAACCCACCCAAAGCAAGGTGGGTGCTCTTCTCTTCCTCGTGCCATTGCAGTTGCATTGTTCCTGGGCAAGGGGACAGCTGTAGCATTAGGACCTCTACTAGGTCTGGGTCACAGGAGACAAAAGTTCAGGAAGGATCTTCTTCCCATGGTCATTCCAGAATGCTCAGAGAAAAAGCATTCTGAGGAAAAAGCTATAAGACAGGCTATAAGATGGCTTCCCCTGTGAGTGAGATGTGCCCCAGAAGTCTCCTCTAAGTCACCAGCGCTGCCTCCATCCACAGCGTGTCTGTCTGGCCTCCAGAGGTAAATCACATTTTCTTCCCTGAGCATTAAGCATTATTTGTAGGTGTTTCAGAAGCCTGGTTATATTGCTTTTCCTGTTGCCTAGATTCTCCGGTCTGGACCATTTCACCCAATTTAGTTCCTGTCTTTTTCTCTCCTTACCCCCTTTTTGCTAAGCCTTGGTGGTGGGGAGGAGGCGGGGAGCCCACAAAGGAGACTGAATTTCTGATGCCAGCACCCTCTCTGGCAGTAGTTCCCAAGCAGGATCCAGGAGCTTGTTAAAAGTACAGAACCCGAGTTCCACTAAGGGCCCTGGAACAGCACTTTGTGCAACTGTGAATGGGCCTCGGGGGGCCAGGAGACTGGGACATCTGCACACACCCCATTGGCTTCAGCTGCAGGTCTGCAATAACAGAGAACAGCTGAAATCTGGAAGGCCGCTTTAGCCATTGGCATTGGGGTCACAGAGAACTTGTTAGAAATGCAGCTCCTCAGGCCCCACCCCAGGCCCGCTGAAGCCCCCATTAGGGATGGGGACTGCTCTCCATAATTTAACAGGCCCTCCAGGAGACTCTGAAGCTCACTACAGAAGAGCATCCGGGGGGTCCACAGCCCTCCTTCTCCTTCTTTCAACCCTCAAGGCAGCCAAGGCCTTGATTCTTCCTCAGGCAGGGAGGCCACTAGGGTCACCATCTCCAGCCATAGAGAGGAAATAAAGGCCAAAGGCCGGTGTGGCCTCCCAACAGGGTGACCAAGGCTCCTGGTGCAGATGGTGAAGAGCAAGTCCAGGAGGACTCCAGGGAAAGGCTCTGGAATACTGACAATTGTTAATAGGGATCTAGATTCCCCAAGGTAAAGAAGGAGGGTCTTCGCAGTTAATACCACCATCCACACCCTCCATCTCCTATGGCACATCCCAGGAGAATCCAAAGCCCTGGAAATTTCATTCACTTGCTCCTTATCTGTCAGTAAATCCATGGACCCAGACACAGGCAGAAGGAACTGATCTGAAAGGAAACCCCCACTTCTAGGGTTGCAGGAATTTGTTCATTCATGTAGCCTTTCCACATGCAACACCCAGACTGCCAGAAATCCGCCATACACGTCCATCTGCACCAGGCTTGGGTGGGAGGGGGGTCGTTTCCGGTTTATCCATAGAGGGAAATTGAGGTTTCCAAAGGCACAGTAGCTCTCCCAAGGTCCGCAGCTTGGAAGTAGGGAGCAGAGTCAGGATTTGAATCACAGCAGCCAACAGTAAGCCCAAACATTCACCCACAGCGGATTCCTCCCGTGAAAAATCCCAGCAGCCTAAGCCAACAACATCTCTTTTCCCTGGGAAAGCCCAGAGACAGAGCTGTGTCCCCAGCACCCGCCCCCCCCAGCCCCCAGACACTCAAGCCAGCTCTGCTCCCAGCACCAGGAGAGAATCAGATATCAGAAGGTACTGGGCTGTGCCCTTACCCTTGGCCATTCAGGGCCCTGTGGGGACCCTCTACCCCTCCTCGGGGCCAAAGTCCTTCCCCACCCCCAGCTCATCATTAGTTCCAGACACCATGTCTCCTCTATTTATGGGGTTTTTCTTTGCTTCTGCGGTTCTCCCTGGATGAATGCCCCTTTCCCTGGATTTACAGCATCCTCTTGCGGTGGGGTTGATGTCACTTTAATGAGAGTTACAGCTGCCTTCAACTGTGACTGCTGCATTCCAATTTACTGCCTGGTCTCCAGGAGCCCAGCAGGATTTTTCTCAAGCGAGAAGGGGGTGACTGAGCTCCCTGTCCTGGAATGGGGTGGCTGGAGAAGTGCAGTCTCCTCTTTGTGCCAGGAGACACCAGCCCCAGCTTAGAAGTCTGCAGAGCTCCCTGTTCCTGGGGGTGCTGGGGGGGGCGGGGAGGTGGTGGCGGTCCAGAGCAGCAGGCAGCAGGGAACAGCAAGCCTGAGGGGGTTGGGCACAGCTTTTACCAAAACACTACAGGTTTGGGAAAAGAGATCTCTCAGCTTTCCTCACCTCTACCCCATCCTGCATCCACACACCCCCACCCCCCACCCCGCCATGAGAACAAAAGTTCTGAACTGGAGGAGCAAGGAGAGCAGAGGGAGAGAGCAGAGGTGGGGGCACTCACAGAAAGCCTGTTGTTCCTTAGTTGAATCCAGATGTGAAGGGGGAGGAGGGGGTGAGAGGGCTCTGGAGGGGGGAGGAGAGAGGAAAAAGGGAACTGGGAAAGCAAAACTCCAGGCAAGACTGCCAGAGAGCCCTGGAATCACGCCTGGATTTCAGTGCCCTCCAGTTGGGGTCCATCACCCCCAACTGGCCTCCATTTTTCCCTAGTTAATGAATATGACGCAATGTTGCCAACAACTCGGGCACCTAGGACAAAGCTGCTAACGTTTGTAGAGCCCAGATCAGGTACTTCCCTGTGCAGCCAAGGCCTCAGCCTGCTGGACTTTTCCCTCTGTCCAGCACCTCGGCCACAGGCCCCACCGTGGAGCCAATGCCGGATCCTGACCAAGGGACCAGGGTGTAGGGCAGCGAGTCCAGGGCATTGAACACAGCACTTCATTCTCATAGCAACACGATGAAGTAAGAATTATGACATCTATTTTACTGACCAAGATCCTCTGCATCTTAGAGGCTCCACCACTGTCCAAGGCCACACATTGAGAATGAGGCAGAGCCACAGTTCAGAATAAGTCCACCACCTGAGCTCTCCCACCCACAGCATTTTGCTGGCCTTGAAGTAAGGCCGTAGTTTGGGGAGGCTGACTGAGCCTATCAAATGACCAGCAGTTCCTAGAAATCTGAGGTTGGCTCAGAGGTGCCGTAGCCAAGCTGGAAACAGGCTCCAGGGGTCAGTGGCTTGGCCATTCCAGTCTATGTCCCAGGCATGCCCCCCTGGGAGGAAGGTGTCATCTCTCCAGCAGCCAGAGTGATACAGGGAGGTCTTCAAGGTCCAGGAGGGCACTGGGTATAGGTAGATTCTTCAAAAGGCTGTAGACACTGGAAAGGGGATGGACAGTCTCTGTCCTCCACCTGCCACCCTGCTGCTTTATCCTCCCCAGGAATAGCTGGGAGAGATGCCCAGGGCTGCCACAGCCTGGCCACCTCCCTCTGCCAGTCCCTCTGTACCACCCGGCAGAGTGAATACCTGGCCCTGGGCAGGAGGCTGAGCCTGGGGTGGGGGCCCAGGGCCTTGTGAGTGCGAAAGGTCCCAGAGAGCATGAGCAAGAGCTCAGACTTTGCAGTGAACAGGCCTGGGTGTGGCCCTAGTTCTTCTGCATTAGCTGTGACCCGATGTTCATGGTCACAGCCCTCTGTAAAGTGGGGGAGGTCATAGTTCCTACTCCATGGTGTGCAGGTGGCTATTAAGCGGGGTACTTAGACCAAGCATTTAGGCCAGCACCTGCTTTGCAGTGAGTGCTCAAGAAATGTTAGCTAGGATTATTCTAGATTCCATTTCCCCTGGTCTCCATCTCTTATGCTTCCTATGGGTAGAAAAGTCCTTTCCGATGAAACCGTTCAGTTTCTCCAGGTCTCCCCAAACCTCTCATTCCCTCATCCCAAGGGACCAAAGAGGTATTAATTAGTAAAGCTTCAGGACAGGCCCAGGCGGAGAGGAAGCCTTGTTGACGTTAATTGGCACTATCAGATCTTTGCCCAGTCAGGATGGAGCAGTGCAGGCTGTGACAGCATCTCTGCCCTTGGGGTTCACAATCTGCCCAAGACTATACCCCCAGCACCCCAGGTGGGTGGATGGGCGGGGAGTTCCTCCCTTCCCTCACCCTCACAGGGCCCAGCATGTGAGGAGGCTGGGGTGAAGGAGGGAAGCAGGAGGGATGGATCCACCCTGGTTTGCAAAAGCATCTTTCAGCCACCAGCAATGCTGAGTGCAAGCATGATGTGGGCACCTCACCACATACCAGTGCCAAGGGCTACACACCAGGCCAGCCCCTTGAAGTGGCTCCGAATTGATTTAACGAGCTAAAGAATTCTGGTTGAAATGCATAGCCCCTGACAGTGCCTCCCATGAGTGACCTATTATATGACCCCTCCAGGGCATGGATTTTTAATAAGTACCCAGGTCTGCAGGATCGCACTTGAAAAAATCATTGGTTTCGTGCTTGTACGTCCAATATTACTTGAGTGCAAATCCAGGCACATGGTAGATGATGCTAACTGCTGGTTGATGGAATAAATGAATGAGTGATCCAGTGAGTGAGTGAGTGAGTGAATGAGCGAGCAGAACAGAAAGAGACTATGGATGGTGCTGTAGGATTTGAGCCAAAGATCTGTCTTGTTCTAGTAATTCCCTCCCCAAGGAAGAGGAGGGTCCTTTATTGCTAGTTCACTCCCCTTTGTGGCTGGGAGCAGACTTTTCCTACTGAACTTTTAAGTAGGGAAATTCTAAAGGAAGTTCTAGTCCATATAGAAGAAACCCCACAGAGACCTTACCCCACCTTCAATCTATCCAAGAAGGTCAGGGACCCCTGAGGATTCTATTTCCAAAAAATACAAACACACACAAAGGTCTGCTTATGATTTCCAGAGTTCTGGACCTTGAAGCTACCCACAGTTAAAGATCCCTTCTGGGGGGTCCTTTGATCTGTGAGTTATTGTTAACAGCAGGGCACTGGATAGAGGGGGGGCGGGGAGCAGGAAGAGGTTCTGGGTAGAAGGGGGGGGTGGCCAGGGTGTGGGACAACCACAAGCACACAGAGGAACTTTTAGGTACCAGACTTTCAGCAAGAAGTAACAAGTTGTTTGTTTGCTTTTTATGGTGTTTAGCCTCTGTAGAAATGTGACAGGTACTGGAACGTTTAGGAGGGGCAATAGGCACGCGGGACACCCAAGACCTTGGAGTTATACTTGGACTCCAGGTCTGGCCCCAGTCCTTTCTGGTATAACCTGGGCAAATGTGTTCACTTCTGGGGCTTCCCTGGTGGTGCAAGGGGTTAAGCACCACATTATGAAGCAATCCACAACCTCTGCAGGATGAGTTCAATCGGGCAGGCCAGGGAGCAACCCACATGGTGCAGCAGACCTCTCCTGACTCGCCCACTGCTCCCCTCAGCAGTGTATTTCAGTCAATCTCCTGTTCTGTTCCCCACTCTGTCTCTGGTGAATCCTCTCACCCCCCACACCTCTGGCCTGTACCCTAGCTCTTGTAGGCATAAATAAATAAATCTTAAAAAAAATGTGTTCACTTCTCAGAGCTTCCACTTCCTCATCTACTAAAGAGCAATGACACCCGCCTCCCAGAGATATTGTAAGGCTTCAGTAAGAAAATGAACCCAAAGTTCCAGGCTCACAGTAAGCACTGATGGGTAGTAATATGTATTCTCACAACTTTGTTTTTCATAAGTGGGGTATTTGGGGGAAGTTACTAGAAATTTCAAGTAGGAGATATATAAAATGAGAAATAATTTTTAAAAACTGCAGTCATGATTCAATGCCGGGTTTTGGCACAAAAAACAAACAAACAAACAAACAAAAAAAGCTGAAGTCAACGAATCATCTTTTCTCATCTCATCTGTAAAATGGAAATCATAATAATATCTACCTTCAGGATTTGGAGAGAATTCACAAGAAGTCTATGACATTCTCCAGCAGATGTCAACACAAATAAATGATCCCCTTTATTGGTCACATTCTTCCGGTTTGCACAGGGACACCACAGCAGATCAGAGAAACTGTCCACACTGAGGAAAGTTTAACTTAAAGCTAAGGAGGTTTGTGTTATACATTAGGAAGTGCTTTCTAGTTGAAAGTTGGCTAAGATTATCTTCTAACACAACAATAAATAAGTCCCCCCAGGACATTCTGGGGTCTTTTCCCTTCACAGACATTAAAAGAGAGATGAAACACTGTCTCAGGGACTCCAGATTTGGTCCTGGATAGAGGTAAGAATTAAAGCTTATGTCCCATGTCAACTGAGCACGCAGTCGTGACTTCATAAAAGTCACAAAGCTCCGAGCCAGAAGATAATTTGGAAGAAATACTGATCAGGTTTTATTTTCTTTTCAATACTCTAAGATCATCATATACAATTTAAACACTTGCATAACATATATGTGCATTATATATACATATATTATATATACGTACATATTTATATATATATACACACAGTAAGTCCTCACTTAACATCAACAGGTTCTTAGAAACTGCAACTTTAAATGAAATAACGTATAATGAAGCCACGTCATTTAGTTATTTAGAGTTTTCTTTTTCTCATCAACATTAAAACAAAACAATGTTTAACAAAATGAAGTTACTTGATTACCTACTCTGTGTGTGTACACATCTATATAGGAAAAGGGGATTTTTAGAGCAGTGAAAATAGTAGATACACATTATCATCCATTTGCTCAACCCCATAAGCTGTACAACAACAAAACCAAACCCAATGTAAATTCTGGGTGACAATGGTGTATGGATATAGGATCATCAGTAGTAACCAATGTACCCCTGTGGTGGGGGGTGTTGTGGGCCTGAGAAGCCGGGAGCACAGGGGAGTGCTATGCTCTCTGTTCAATTATGACATGCACCAAAAATTGCTCTTAAAAATTGCTCTTTTATATATATATATATATATATATATATATATTCCTATTGTACTGTTCTCCCATGATATAGCTTTTCATTTGTCCAGAAAAAATAAAATAAATCTTCAAAAAAATCATGTCAGTGAATGATTGAATAATGGCACTTTATTTTAATGTTGATGAGAAAAAGAAAATTCCAGCTGACTTGGAACTAACCAATGTTATCCAAGGGTCTGTTTTCATTATATGTTGTTTTATTTTATAGTCACTGTTTTCTAGAACTGATTGACAACATTAAGTGAGGAATATACAAATCTCTGAGATCCCTGGTTTGGGACAGGGGGCATTTGCTTTTTATTAGATAAGGAAGAGATGTGATCCCCAGTAGTACTGGCCCAACTAAGACCTGAGCTTTCTCTCTGGGCCCTTCCTGGACATTCTGGTACAAGCCCAACTATACCATAGCCAGATAGGAGCAGACCCACAGCAGCAGTGACAGGAAAAGCAGACGCCGGTCAGAAATGGCCCCTGTCCAGGCCCAGCATGCTCACACTCAGCTCCCTGACGAGGACACAGGGCTTTTCATCTCAAGCCATAACATGTACATTCGGCTTGTAAGAGCAGTAAAGCTGAACAAAAAAATCTGACAGATTTCTTTTTCAGTAATTTCCTCAGGGCTTTGCATAAGGAAAGGATCTTTACCCATAAAATAGGTAATAAAGAACACACACACACACACTCCCTACCAACTCCCCCTCTTCCTGCTGCAGGTATACTAAGGTAACTGGTGGATCTGAGGGCCTGGCTCCACACAGCAGGCAATACCCCTCTCCTGGAAGGTCTCTGTGTACCTTGGTGATGGGATTGCCCAGGCACAAGGGTCAGGACACTCTCAGGACACAGCATGTATCCCATGGTCTATGGCATGTGCTCTGTGCTTCATAAGGTTTTCCAGGGCTGGGGTGGGGGCAGCAATGGTTTTGATGAGGTGGCCCAGCCTACTGCCCAGAGGGCCCTATCCTGTGTGCACAGCATTGTGCCAGGTACACAAGGCTACAGAAAAGCTCATTAAGCAACCTCTGTGTACAAGGCACTGTGCTAGACTCAAAGTGGATGCAGAGAGGACCCAGATCCAGCCCACCTGCCTCCAGACACTCCTAGGCCCGCAAAGAGATGAAATGGAAACTCCAAGTAGTGTCACAGAAGGGGACTAGGCCTGGGTACAGAATGGCAGGCTTCTAAGCTGAGCCAGGGCCACTAGAAGCTGGCCTGGAGAAATTACCAAGAAAGCAACCTAAGGGCTTCTCGCCCAGGCTTCTCAATCTCTATTCATGGTGCCACCCAAATGCCCTCCCTGAACCAGGGAATTGTCCTTCACCCCTCCCTCTCACTCACCCCAAGTCGAAAGACATTATCATATCCCACTTTCAAATTCTACCTGTGAAGTGCAGCTGAAGTCCAGCAGTTCTCTACATGCCCACTGCCCAAGCCACCATTCTGGACTCTTATCCACTCCCAGAAAAATGTTTTTTAAAATACAAGTCTGGTCAGGTCACTTCCTTACATAACACCTTTCAGTAACTGCCCATGAGTCTTAGGAAAACAGAACAAAACAAAGCCCATATCCTAACATTGCCTGCAAGGCCCCGCGTGACTTGATATCTGCCAAGCTCTCCAGCACCGGTTTCAAGCAATTCTCCTCCCTCCTCACACTCAGGTACTTCGTGAAGTTTCTGGGGAGCCCCCAGACACATGCCCAGACACAAGCTATTCCCTTTGCCTGGAATATGGGGTTTGCCAATCAATCCCAATTCATCTTTTAAATCATCTTGGACATTGCTGCCTTCCAAGGACCCTCCCCCCCCCCCCCCCCCCCCCCCCCCCCCGCCCCGGGTTAGAGTATCCACTCCACAGTACCAGTTTTGACCATTGTAATTTAAATCTTTGGCTTTGGGTTTTCTTTTTTGAATGCCACTCCTCTGGCCTCTGTAGCTTCCATTTCAGAGGAAGGAGTCATGGCATCTGTTGTTCTCCTGTTGTAAGTGCAGCATTGAGCACAGTGTCTCTCTAGGTGACTGCTGGGATGAATTGATGATGAGTGTCCAGGTAAGGGATGAAGACAGGCCTGCAGGAAGAGTTAACATGGAGAAGGTGATGTTGACATCAGGACCTTCAAGAGTTGTGGGCCTAGAATCAACAAAGTTCTCTTACAATTCTGATCACTCAGGCTGCCCTTTCCTTCCTGAGGTCATTGATTTAGCCTCCTCCTTCTAAGCTTCCCTCCTGCCTGGCTTTCTGCCTGGGGAGAAGGGCTGCTCCCCTAGCAGTTGGGTTTCTTTTTCCTTTCCACTCTCTCTCCAGGCCCGCTGCCTCTCCAATCCACTTTCCCACCACACCCTTGCATTTATGTACCTCAGTAATTGTGTGATGCCATAAAACTAATTTGTACTTCTGCTCCAGCAGCGAAGGAACTCTAGCTTTTGCCGTTGGCCCCAGAGGCAGAGGAGAGCACCCTCATCCCACCCCACCCCATCTGCAAGGTCCAGTAAAGGAGGGCTGTGAGGCAGCCCAAGTCAAATGTCAGCCATGGAAAGAACATTAAAATAAAAGTCTTTCCGCTCTTGCAAAGCCAGCCCCCACTGGACATTCTCCCCACCTCTGGATAGAAGTTGTTAGTATAGGGCCTCCCTGGTGGCACAAGGGGTTAAGATGCAACCTATGAAGCTATCCACAGCCACTGCAGCTCGAGTTCGATTCCCGGCCAGGGAGGTGACCTGGCATGGCACAGCAGACCATCTGACATGGCACAGCAGCCCTCTCCTGACTCGCCTGCTGATCCCCTGAAATACAGCAGTGTATTTCAGTCAATCTGCCTGTTCTGTTCCCCACTCTGATCCTCTTACCCCCCCATACCTCTGGCCTGTACCCTCATTCTCATATGCATAAATAAATAAATAAAAAAAAAAGAAGAAGAAGTAGTTGTTAGTATAGTTTCCCTTTCAGTTTTCTCCAGACCCTTTAGCACCTGTCTTCTTGGCCACAGTTTGGAGCACAGTGTGGCATTTCTCTTCCTGCCAAGTGGAGGTACACTAAAACTGAAAAGTGTGGGGGATGTAACTTCTGAGGCGTGGCTATCCACTTCTCAGTTTTGGAGGTTTTGAGCAGCTTAAGTCCAGTCTTAGGAGACCCAAAGAGGAAGACCTAAAGAGGAAAAAGACAAAACAAACTCCTGAATGAGAGTGTGTTTGTGTGTGTGTGTGTGTGTGTGTTTGATACAATGGGAGTGTATAGACAGTATTCAGTAATATTAGCCACCACTTATTGGGTTGGTACACTTTGGCACACAGTGTTCTGTACACAGAATTTCATTTAATATTCCAAACAACAGAGTGAGAGCAATATTTATGCCCCCATTTTACAGATGGAGAAGCAGGTTTGCTGAATCACACAGCATGTGAGTGGCCAACCCTTAGGATTAAAATCCCAAAGACCTGGCCCTGAACCACGATGCACAACTGCTTTCCTAGGGCTAGCAATCAGAAGGGAAAGGAAATTGGTTTATGGTGTAGCAGAAGGCCTGAGATTAGCCCTAAAGAATGTTCTGACAATGAGGGCTGTTTGGTGGTAGTCGGGGCAATTAGGCTTGTTAGAACTTTTCCTCTGAGGGCCTTTACATTCAAGATGAATGGCTGCTTCTATGCCTGGCTGGTTTAAGGGAAGTGTTCTCTGTTCCCAGCACGGGGCTGGCCTGTTTGAACTAACAGAGAGTCTCTCTGGGTGACGAGCTTGCCACACACAAAACCGTTAGATGACAGGAGTCGGAAGATAGCACAGGCTGTGTGTCCGGATGGGGCTGGAGGAAGACAGGGCGAGCCTCAGCAGATACCACTGTGGTTAATAGCCAGGGCTCTGTGGCCAAGTGGACTTTGGGCTTGAGCTCCTGCTAGCTCTCCTGCTTGTGTGACCTTGGGTGCATTATTTCACCTCTCTGAGCCTCCATTTTTGGGGCAGTAAAAAGAGGCTAAGAATAGCACCTGCTCCGGAGAGCTGTCTTGAGCATTAAATAAGATGATGCATGCAAGCGCCACACAGAATTTGGACATAATAAGGAACAGTGAGTGGAAGCATGTAATGACTGCTCTGGCTAGTGATGGAGTCCAGAGGCAGGGAGAGCAGGGCCCGGGAGAGCCTTAGGTCAGGAGCTGAGAATGTCTCCCCAGGAAACTCAAGTATTGTCCTTGGTCTTGAAAAGTTGATCAGGGCAAATCAAAAGGAAGCTACAGGGACAGAGGGAGTAGAGAGAGAGTTCTTTAAAGACAAATCTATTTTGATCTGTGATTGGACTAAAGAAGGAAGTTGAGGGCCTCCCTGGTGACACAAGGTGTTAAGCATCACACTGTGAAGAAATCAGCAGCCTCTGCAGTCTCTTCAGCACGAGTTTGATCCCCGGCCGGCCAGAGAGCAACCCACATGGCGCAGCAGACCTCTCGTGCCTTGCCGGCTGCTCCCCTCAGCAGTGTATTTCAGTCCGTCTGCCTGCTCTATTCCCCACTCTGTCTCTGGTGAATCCTCTCAGCCCCCACACCTCTGGCCTGTACCCTACCTCTTGTATGCATAAATAAATAAATTTTTTAAAAAAGGAAGGAAGTTGACTGTGGGAAAGAGGAGATGGACAGAGATGGGATCCTCTATGCTTGTTTCCAAACCCAGAATTTGAATAGACACAGAGACAGCCTCCACGAGCTAAAAAAGAAACCAAGCATGAAAGAATTCTTTGCTGACTTTTTCTGGAATCTCACTGGGGTGCAGGGCCAGGGGCCTGGGATTATGGCTGGGGGTCGAGCCGGTGACGGATGGGAGAGATAGGCCCTGGGAAAAGGGATATTAGGAAATAGGGCTGAGGTCCCAATGACTGCGTGGGCTGATTCATGTGAGAGGGCCTAGTTTGCAGGGCCTAGTTTGCAGGCCCGATTGAGACCCAGTACCCTGTCAGGCAAGAGGCCTGTCCTGAGTCTCTATCCATCTTTCTTCATTCCTGCCACCTCAGGGTGGGAGGCCCTCAAGGAGCAGCCTCTCTGCTCTTCCATTGTTCTCTGACAGCCTGCCTTATCTCCCTCATGTGAAAATAAACTCCTTAGGGGCCAGGATGGTCCTTTTAGATCCTCTATGCTTAACTCTCCATCAAGTACTAATATCTACCCCTTTGATCAAGCATCACCAGAGCCCTTGTCAAAAAATATGAATTCTCAGTTATTTTCCCTGGGAGTCTGACTAGCTAGATTTAGAGAGCCAGGTATGTTTTTAAGGAGCACTTAGATGATTATTTTGGTAAGGCAAATTTGGAAAACTTTTCATTTCCTTGAATCATTTTCAGCCCTAAATTTAAGCAGCAGAGTACGCTAGGGAGAGCCCTGGGTTGGTAGTAGGAGGCAGGTCCTAGGCCTGGCCCTGCAGGCCAGGTGTGTCTGACTCTGACCTTGTGCCTTCACTGAACCAGGTGCCTAGGTACCTATTGTCATCTTTGGCACATTTAAGAATACTGTGATGGGAAAACCTAGAAGGGAAGGAAGCTGCAGAACAGAGTAGGGTATTCAAGCATCTTTGATCAAGATCTCAGAATGAATAAAGGAACCTAGAATAAACAGAAGTGGAAAGTGGACATTAGGGGACAATAGGCTCCAGCATCCTCTGGGGCACTCTAGGATACTTAGGCCCAAAAAATTTTTAAATGGTGCCCCAAACACACAGCTAATCAAAGGAAGCAAGAATCTAGCGCTACTGTTGGGGTGCCTAGCAGAGCAGCCCTGTATTCTTGGGACTCGTGGGAGAGCTGCTGTGGTTAAGCACCAGAGTCCTCAGTCCCTGGACCTTGTCTCAAATGGCCTGGAATTTGAGACATTTCCCTGAATTTGCTCAGTCTCTTACTGGGAGAGAGAATGGGGGTCTGGAGAGGTGGGGAGGTGGGGAGATGGGGAGGTGGGCCGGGCCAAGGAAAGGCCAGAGAATGGGAGAAGTCCAGAAGGCTGGACTGCAAAGGAAATCTGCACACAGGGGCCCCCAATAGGAACCAGCTCCGGAGAGGTGGCCTGACTTACAAAGATCGCACACCTGATGGATGTCAAAGCAGGAGACACCCCAGCTTCTCTCTCCGTTGGGCAGTACAAAGACTAAGTTTAATGTGTGCTCTGATTTTTCCAGAAGCTTTTTAGAAATTCGCTGCGTCAGAGAATCTAAAAGACCAAACAAAACCCTAAAAACAGCAAGCCCGATTATTTCATCCACGTGGCACAAGAACAAGCAAAAAAAGGGGGGCGGAGAAAAAGTCCCCCGCCCCGCCCCGCCCCTGCTGGGAGGAAGGGATTTGCGGAGAGAACCAACTTCTGACACGGCCAGGGCACAGCGGGAAGGGCGGGCGCTTGAGAAAGCCCTTGCTCCCCAAAGCCGCTTTCCGCACGCCCCGGCTCCCCGCCGCCCGCCCCGCGCGGCCCGCCCGGTGCCCCCGCGCGCGGAGCCGCCGCCGGCCCTTTAAGGGCGGAGAGGTGCGCGGTCTCTTTAAGGCAGGTCCTGGTGGTTTCTGTTTTCTGAAGGAAGTGACGGGGGGTGGGATTGAATGAAAAGTGCAAAACAGAGTCTCCGAGCCACCGAGTCGGGGGCCCGGGAGTGCCCAGTCCGCCCCGGAGCCGCCGGAGGGGCGCGCGCCCGAGAGCTGCCCACGTGCGTCCGCGCCACGTCGCGGGCCACGGGCGGCTGAGCCCCCGCGGGGAGCCGCTCCCGGGCGCCCCGGAGCAGCCACGAACTTGGGGCGAAGTTGAGCGGCGCCCCTGCTTTCCCGCACGCGGCGCGCGGGGGCCGCGGAGGCCGGCGGCGGCCCTCCGGGATGCGCCCCCCCGGCCGCCGCGGGGTCCCCGCGGTGCCCCCAGCCCTGCTGCTGCTGCTCCTGCCGCTGCTCGGGGCGCCGCGCGCGGTGGGCGCAGGGGCGGGCGCACCCGCGGAGCTGCGGGTCCGCGTGCGGCTGTCCGACGGCCAAGTGACCGAGGAGAGCCTGCAGGCGGACAGCGACGCGGACAGCATCAGCCTCGAGCTGCGCAAGCCCGACGGCACCCTCGTCTCCTTTGTGGCGGACTTCAGGAAGGTGAGGCGCGCGGGTCGCCGGGTGGGGCTCGGGGATGAGAGCCCAGGGGTCCAGCATGGAAGGTTGGCGTGAGGAAAAGAAGGTGCAGGCGACTTACTCAAGGTTCCGCGTCCTTTGCCAGCTCCCCAAGTGCCCAGACCCGGACCCTTCATTCCCTCCAGGAACTCTGCTACCACCCACTCTGCTGCGCTCCTCCTGTCTTTCATCCCTTTGCTCTCGGGGTGCCCTGGCCCCTTCTCACTTCCCGACCTGCTCCTCTCCCCACTTCTGCCAGCTCTCCCCAGCCCTCCAGGTGCTGAGCCTCCTTCAAAACAGTTCGTGTTAATGACTCCACTCCCTCTTTGGAGCAGTTTCTGGACTGTCTAGCGGGAACAACCCTGGGCTAAGAATCAGGGCTCTGCAGTGTGACCTGGAGCACATCCCCTTCCTTGTCTGGACAGTGCTTCTGCCTCTTACGGGACAGTGAGGTGGCTTCAGGCCTTCCAGTTCTGATGTCCCCAGCCCAGGACCCCTGTCCTTCTTTCATTTTTCTGAAAGGGGTCAAAGGAGTTTCCCCGCAGAGCTGATTATCCCTGGTGCTCCCCAAACTGAGAACTAGGACTCCACTTCTGTCAGGTCTGCTGGGAAGCTTGTAGCAGAAGGACCTGGGGAGAGGCCCCAAGTGAGGGGCTTATGCTCTGGGAGGGGAACTACCCCTGTACCCTGCCTGGCAGGAGGGCTGACCAACCCTCAGTTTCTGGCCCAGATTGTGGGGAGGAAGGCAGAGACCTGCCTCTAATCAGAGTGAGGGAGCTGTGGAGGGAAGCAAAAGGTGGGCCTGTGTGCCTATATTGGGTTGGAGTTCTGGAGAGTAGAGGTGCCGGGGGGTTTTTTGGAAAGGGGCTGCAAGGGCAGTGAGTGACTAACAGTGGCCCAGGGGCAGGATTCCCGGAAGGAAAGACAGTGAGCGATACTCAAAGGGGGATTCCTGATTTCCCACACCATTTCCTACACCGCCTCTCCTCACTCCCCCCACACACCTCCCTCCCCTGCCCCCAGCCTCTCTCCTGATAAACAGAGGCCCTGTCAGGTTCTGTCTCTGGAGAAGTGAGGCTGATTAGATATTGGCGGCTGGAGAAGCCTAGGGCTGTGGGATCATTGCCTGAGCCATTTCTGTCTCTTCCCTCATAGAGCTTGAGAAGAGAGGGGGCAGACTTTGGGGAGTCACCTAGGGACACAGCCAATTGCCACCGCAAGGCCGATGGGGGATGTTGGGGGCAGTGACAGGATCTAGTGGGCCTTGGGGCCAGGGCTTGAGTGCTGCTCTGGCCAGGACTGCTGAGTTGTCACGGACGTGGGATGGGGGTGGGGGTGTCACCATGATGGCCTTTCCTTACTCAGCAGGCCCCAGCTAGGTTCTCAGATTCAGATAGGGGCAGGTGAGTAGGTGTGTGGAGAGGGGATGCCAACAGGGCCAGAATACCTTCTGCCTCACACCCAGACTTCAGGGGAATTTGGTCAACTGTGTTCTTTGACTGGGAGATCCAGATTAGTGAGGGGACCCCTGAAGAGGCAGGGATCACATCTTCCCCTGTCACCTTCCATTGTAGTTCTAGTCCTTGGCAATGAGACTTGCTCCAGGTTCTGAGTCTGCCACCCTCCTGCCCACTGGCCGTTTGACCTCTGGCCTCACTGGAACTCTGGAGAGAGACTTCCCTTTCCCTGGGACCTCTCTAGCAGCCAAGGCTGTGGCAAGGGCAATGGGTAGGGCTAGGCTTTTATAGCCTTTGGGTGCTGCATGAAATATTTTATTGCTCTACCCTGAGGGCAAGGAGAAGGGAATGCCCAGGTGGCAGTGGGGTGGAGGGAAAGGGGGAGGGGTTGGGGGGCCTGACTGCCAACTTAGAGAATCCATTTGGAATTGATTGCAAGAGCCCCATTTTAATGCCTGCAGTAGTTCAACACCCCCCACCACACACACACACACACACACACACACACACACACACACTCTTTCTGAGTTAGCCTCTGACCCAGAAGCTGGCATTTCACACCCGCCCCTGGCATCTCCAATTTCATCAGTGAGGGAGGGAATTGGGAGTGGAAGACACAGGAAGGGAACCAGCTTTCAAATGTCCCTTCCAAATCCAGGTTTCTCAGTTAGCCTGGGGTGGGCTGGAATAGCTTTTAGCCCCACCCCAACACACTGTCTACACTAGCCAAAGCAGCTTTTCTACTGGAATCCTTCTGCGATGGATCACCTCTCTTGTTGCAGCTCAGTTCTCAAGGTCCCGTGCCTCATAGTATTTGGCAGATTTCCAAAAGAAAGTTCAAACTAGAAGTAATGATTTTTCTTGTAGGAAAATGTCCTCACTGTTGTTTCTTTTTTTTTCTTTTTTTTTTTTTTTTCATGTACCAAATCCATGGAGTGGTTTGGGAAAAGTTTGTAGTCCACTTGAAAATAATGATGTGTGCCATTTTATCACCTTTGGGAAATAGTCCAGATTAAAATGAGACAGTCTCAGATTAACCCTGGGTAGCTACATAATTTTTCCAAGCCTCCATTCTTTCATCTGTAAAATGGGGATAATAATGGTACCAATCCATAGTTTATTCCATCGCAACCAAACAGGGTGAGTTATGTGAAATACTTACTATGTGTGGGCTACTGTGCTAAGTGCTCAAGAAATAGAAGCCGTTGGCTGTCACAAGCACTGCTCACCTAGCATTGCAATATGGACTTCCCAGCTAGACCTGTACTTTAAGAGGTTAACTGATGACCCCAAAGTCATACAAAAAAGACATCACAGGCCTCCCCTAGTGGTACAGCGGTTGAGCTCTGGGCTGTGAAGCTGCCCGCAGCCTCTGAAGCACTGGTTCGATCCCCGGCCACCGGCGAGGGTCCCACATGGTGCGCAGACATCTCCTGTCGCACCCGCTGCTCCCCTCAGCAGTGTATTTCATCAGTCTGCCTGTTCTGGTCCCCTCTCTGGCTCTGGTGAGTTCTCTCACCCTCTCACGCTTCTGACTATACCCAGTGCTTGTATAAATAAATAAATAAATCTTTAAAAAAAAAAAAAAAAGGCATCACTGAGCTTTGAGGTCCACCATCAAACTCTTGGACACGCCAAGTATTCTCCAGAGAAACAGAAACAATAAGCTATGCATATAGACACATAGAAACAGATTTGCTATATGTATCAGCTAAGACAATTCTGGAAACTGAGAAACCCCATCATCTGCCATCAAGCTGGAGACTCAGGGAGGTCATTGGGCTGGTTCTATTCTGAGTCTGAAGGCCTGAGAGCCAACAGCACGGGATGCCTGAGGGCAGGAGAAGACAATGTCCCAGCTCAAGCAGAGAGCAAATTCGCCCTTCCACTATCTTTTTGTTCCATTCATACCCTCAACAGGTTGCATGATGCCTGCTCATGTAGGTGAGGGCAATCTTTACTTAGCCTGCCAATTCAACTGCTGATCTCTACTGGAAATGTCCTCTGACACACCCAGAAGTAATGTTTTATCAGCTCTCAGGTCATACCTTTGACTAGTCAAATTGGCAAATAAAATTAGCCATCCACTCAGAATTGCTGGCCAGTTCCTCAGAGCAGGGAGCACTCCGCCTGGCTACCCAGGGCAGCAGCAAGGCTGCTGGGGCTGACACAGCCCTTGACCTGGCCTATCTCACCTCCCACTCCCAACCCAGTCCCCTCCTTGCAGCGCCCAAGACAGGGTTCTGACGTGGCCTGGCTCTCCCCACACTGGCACACTGGACCTGAGGCCAGTAAAGTGGTCACAGTAATCAGCCTACTGTAAGACAAATAGCCAGGAGCCAGGCGAGGATTACACACCCAACACGTGCTTGGGGCTATGAAACGGTCACCACGCACCACTGAGAGCCTTGTCTGAACGGTACTGGCCACCAGGCCCATCAAACTGCAGCTCCTAAAACAGTGCAATAGCTCAGTGGTTCCCAAATTTTGCTGCATCTGGGAAGCATCATCTGGGGAGCACTAAAAAATCCTAGGTCTATGCCATACTCATACCAATCAAATCAGAAAGTCTGGAGGTGGGGAGAGTCAGGCATCCATACTTTAAAGAACTCTTGGTGATTCCCGCAGGCAGTGAAGTTTGGGAACCACCAGCATAGTTGCTCCAGGGAAGAGCAAGAGACTTGGAAGAGGGAACGGGTTAAGTGGTTACATGAGACAGACAGCAAACTCAGTCACCTGCTTGGAACCTTTCATTCCACCCTAACGTGTTTGAAACAGGATAGAAACTTTAGACCTAATTCTACCTGCCCTCAGGGCCTCCCCAGTGGCGCAGCGGTTGAGCGCTGGGTTGCGAAGCTGCCCGCAGCCTCTGCAGCGCCGGTTCGATCCCTGGCTGCTCCCCGGCCACCGGAGGAGGGTCCCACTTGGCGCGCAGACCTCTCCTGCCGCCCGCTGCTCCCCTCAGCAGTGTACTTCGGTCCTTCTGCCTGCTCTGCTCCCCGCTCTGGCTCTGGTGAATTCTCTCACCCTCCCGCGCTTCTGACTGTACCCAGTGCATGTATAAACAAAACAAACAAACAAACAAATAAATAAATAAAACATGCCTCTATTTAAAAAAAAAAAAAAAAAATTCTTAAAAAAAAATTCTACCTGCCCTCAGTACAAGAGCTCTAATGTACGCTATACACCCAACAGGCGACTTTCCTCTTCATAATTCAAATCTGACATGCGGTGATACCCGTATGTCCATGTTCATGTAGCATATCTAATAGCAGGCACGTCACCACCCCCAGTCTCTAACCTGGCTTTTGGTCTGACAGTCCTCTTGGTACCCCAGCAGGCTCATGTCCCTGTCCAAGTTCTCTTTCCCCTGTGTCCCCCAGTCTGAGAGTCCAAAAGTTCAGGGGGGAGGGGATGAGTCATGTTCTAGGCGTGGCGTGGTGTTGACGGGATGGGAAGTGTGAGGCTAAAAGATATGAGAAAGTTATGTGCAACTTCTGGGAGGAGGATGGGGGCTGGGGGTGCAAG